AGTGTTGCACCCGGCGGCTATACAGTGTAGCTTGGGAATGATGCGCATCAGTTCTTGGAGAGACACAGATGGAATGCTGACTAGACTGTCTGCTTATTGCTAGGCAACAAGCCTGCGATGGAGAGTAAGCCTTTGGAACTACAAACATGTGTGAGTAGAAGCCCAGACTTGTTGCAGGGTCCTCTACCCTGCGTAAGCAAACTATCTACCTCCTGTCAACAGGGAAGATGGTATCTTCATCAGAATTTTTTAACCACGTGGCACCACCTGGAGTGTCCAGGGGTAGGTTACCCCCTTCCTCCAAGCCAGAATACACCGGTGCAATCTGAGTGAGACAGGGATATGTGGCCACAGATTTGGCAGTTCTACATTAGGGGCAATCTCTCCTTGCTGAGGCGAGTCCCCTCAAGGTTTGTAAGAGCCAAAAAGCTCTGACTCTGCCTCCCGCCGAACGCTTTCTCATCCCCCATGTCTCATCCGGAAGCGTCAAACTTGTTTCCCTGCGACTTGGGGGGCACCCAAGGAAAGGGAGGATCCACCACCTGGTACCTTCTTCTTGGGGGGCATGCCACTACTCTTCCCTCCCCCAGGAGTGTAGGGCCGCTTGCCTCCTGGCTGCTTCTGGCCAGAGGGTGCCGACTTTGGCAGCAGCCAATTTGCTTGTGGACTCACCTGTACCATCTGGTCTGTGGCTTCCCAAAGCCCTGAGACTTTACCCTCCATCTCCCCATCAAAGAGGGTGGATGAGGTCTAGTCTGCGTAACTGTGGTGGTGACGCACCTTGTGGCTCAGTTCACCAACGAAAACACATGCTGCCAAAACAGCATCCCGCTGCACAGAGGTAGCCCCTGCCAAGAAAGCCAGATGACACTGCAGGATATCACACATAGCCGTGCGATGTCCTACCAACAACTGTGACAGGTGGTCTAGGAGGCTGATGCATTCTGCCTCTGAGACTTCAGAGTCCTGGAGACGCAATGCAATGCATTCCAGTGTGGTGGCCACAAACTCCAAAAAGTTAATGGGTCACAACTCTCAGTGCGTGGTGGACTGTTTCTGACTGAGATGCCGAAAAACTCCACAAACACAACCATCCACTTTCACCAGTCCCGCCGAACAAAGTTCATGGTACCTGGGTCAGCAGAAGGAACCAAGGGAATCCGGCCAGGGGCGTGAGGTTTGGCACCAGACTCTGCTGGCTCTGGTACCTGACACCGCACCGATCAGATAGCACTTGGTCCAGCAGAAGGCGATAGTCATAAGATTACCCCACCCTGGGGTCTTAGGACTATACTCTTCCACAGGGAACCAATGTCCTCCCTTCAACACGGTCTGTGCACCCTCTGCAATATTCAGCAGTCTGCAGGACCAGGAAAGCTGTGCAGATGGTGCTGCCTTGAATCCTGTAATCTCAAATCCCACAAGCCACAACGCTACCAAGAGGAACTGCATCAGGATCGTGGGTCGGGGTATAAACATCGGGTCACTAGGGCTGATTACTTCTTGCATCACCCCTATGGCGCGATTCACAGAGTCGTTCCAGAGAGTGAAATCTGAGTGGGCGTCCAAACCTGTAGGATCAGACATCGTCGAACTCCCTTTCACTTTAAGGATCCGATCAAATGCCTGGTAGTCGGGGCAGCCCCTTCTGGAGTGCTGCAGGTCATTCTAGGAAGGGTGACCCATAGCGGAGGTGGTGTTCTGGGAAAAATCCCTGGTACTGGCTCTACTGACAATCCCTGGCTGGCAGGACAGAGAGTAAACATAAGGCAGAATGACGCTGACCCCGGCCACGTGTTACATGACGTGGAAGGAAATCTATGAGGTCATGGGGCTTCCACTAACCTAGATTTCGCTCCTTGTCATTGGCTGAATCGCAGATTAAAGCCTACAGTTCAAAATAGTCATTTCGTCTATGATGGGTAATTGAATGTAGTGAATTTGATCATTTTACTTTCGCAACAAGCTTTACAAAACCACATATCAGAATAATGTGGGTACATTTAATATTTACATTATGTCATCATGATTGGTGGGTCTGATAAAATTGAAATAGTGTCGTATAATTGCAATGGATTAATTAAAATTAATTATGAGATAAATGTAGCAGTATATATTGTTTACAAAAAACCCACTCTATTATTAATAATGAGCATATGTGGAAAAATGACTGGGATGGTGATATCATTTTTAATCATGGTACTAGCAATCAGCATGGTGTAGCTATTCTTTTTAGAAAGTGTTGTTCATATGTAGTTCACAGCAGTAGAAATAGTAGGTGTTGAAAACGTTTTACTTTAGTTAATGTGTACGCTCCGAATGATGATAATGCAGTTTTTATTGATAAACTGAAAGTGAATGCAGAAGGGTATTGAAGTGATTTTTCGTAAAGATTTCAATACAATATTGAATGAGAACATGGATAGAGCAGGGAATATTATACACAGTTATCAAGATTATTCAATTTTAGTTGGAAGGTAAGCAAGACTAGGTTAGAATAAACACAGTTTACAACACATATAGTAAGGGCAGTCTGAATTTAACCAATTTGAGGGTTTTTAATGATTCTCTTAAAGCATTTGAACAGTTTATTTTATAACAAGGGGATTTATGTTCCCAATATAAATTCTTTCAATTAAACTCTGCCATTCCTTCAAAATGTATCTAAACTGAACATGCATAACCTCAAGTGGCTAAGTTGTGATACAATTAATGAAAAGTTGTG